AAACGAATTCAACGGAAATTATAGATACGAGTATATTCTAGTGATCTTGATACCCGGATACCCGAGTTTTACGGGTATTATCCGATTTACAAAATTTCGGGTACCCGTTATGGTTTGTATACTCATTACTAGAGCTGGGATTTGTATGTAAATACATATTTTTTCTAAAACATGATAAATTTCGTTAGGTATCTTTTTTTTTCGTTGCACAGATAAATAACTGCTATAAATAGATATTGTTTTACAAGGCTGTATCTAGAAATATTTTTTTTTTTTTGGGGGGGGGGCCCAAATATGTTTATTGTAATTTTACTGAATTTAGGTTTTAAAATTTGGTTAAAAATAAGACCAAAAAAGTTTTCTTCTTTTAATAAAATATATAATTAAATAAATAAAATTACTTTGACATCTTGCCACCTTACACTATACAAAACATAAAAACAAAATTAAGTGATGACATACACAAATTCAATATATTTTAAACTAAAAAATGCTTCTATCTTTTTGAAGAGCAAACTGGTTTAATATTTCTTTGGGATTAATCGTAACATCTCTATGGGCACTTAATAGAGCTAGGCCAGATAGTCTTTCTTGTCCAGTAGAATTTCGTAAAAATGTCTTGACCCGTTTTAATGTCGAAAAATTTCGTTCAGGAGTTGCTGTAGAAACCGGCAATGTGTACTTTTAATAAAAAAATGAATATTTGGAAAAAGTTCAAGGTTACAATAATTTAATGATTCTATAGCTATTTTTGGACGATGTGTATCTTTAAATACAATCCATTTTCTTTTCCGCAATTTTATTTCTGAAAGTAATGAATCAATATTTATAAAATTTGAATATAATCTAAAATCTATTCTAAAATTGAAGATTTTACACATATTTTTGGTATTAATAAATACAAAGACGATAAAATTGTCTTGTGTTTGGAAAATCATTCTTTAATTTGACTAATAAAATCAACATAGAAAGGAATTGCAATAGAAAAACGAAAGTAATCTTCAGGAATTTTGGTATCTACGTTAATTTTATTTTTTGAATTACCGACTAATCTTGGTAGGTATTTTTATTTTTTCTTCATCATTCACGAATATTAATAATTGTTCTGATTTAGTGAATATTTCTTTGAAAGTGTCATCAATATTTTTTTCGCATATCTTTCACTTCACTTAAAACAGTTTCAACATATTCTACTGCTTCACTTAAATCGCATTTTACTTACTGTAATACTTTACATAATGGCAAAGTTATAGAGAGAAGTGTTGCATTTATCATACTTATAATTTGGCAACGTTGCATACGCAATCTTGTCAATTTACGGGTTTCTATTGTTATACACTGTATAATATACAACAAAAATAGGAAATTGTGTTCTCAAAAAGATAAATCGTACGTAATCGAGTTGATAAGATTAGGTCAGAAGATTCAAGGTCCCTTGTAATCGCCGTAAGATCAAATAAAAACGATCAATATAAAAAAAAAAGTTCCTTCTGCTTTGGTTAGAAGTAGGCTTAGGGACTTAGAGCTCTAAAAAATACACAAATATGCTTCTAAAATCATTAAAATATGCATTAACAAAAAAAAAAAAAAATAACCACATAGTACACAAAATAAAACGTGTCCATCGGATGTAAATGTATCTTTGAATTCCGAAACAAAACTTTGTAGTCGGCTACTCGTAGATTGTTGTACTTTCAGCATTACACAATGTTACAAAATATACGCTATAAAATGTTCAACGTTTTAAGTATGATTCGATGTTTGTGGTAGCGAGACGCAAAAACAATGACGGATAATAATCGACTGAACACTAGAAATGTGTCGTTCATGAACGAACTAGTTCAATTGAACTATTCACCCAAGTGACCGGTTTCGTACTAGTTCACTTTTGATGAATGACTCGTTCACCGTTCCCTTTACGAGCTAGTACCTTAATCATTCATGAACGATTCGTTGATACGGAGTACGTATTCATACGAACGAATCGTCAAATATATGAACGATGAACGACTAGTTCTAACTAGTTCACCTTAATGAACGATAAATCCCATCTCTACTGAACACACACTAAACAAATAATCTATTCTATATTGACTATTATCTTTATTAACATCCGGTCGATATCCAGTGAGTTATACGGTCAATACGAGTTCAAAGTATTTTTTGTACTTACACAGAAATTATAACGAGATATGAGAGGTAGTTTGCAGATATACATTATATATATACATATTACTGAAAGTATTAAGTACATTCTTTTTTCGAACGGTTGAAATATGTATATATAGTTTTTAATATTAAAAAGTTGTCGAACTATGCAAAATAAGCATAACAATTTTAAAATATGCATTTTCTTGCAAAATCTATCAAATATTAAATCTAACATCATGGCACCGAGAAACGAATTTATTTCGCACTCTGCTATATTTAACAATAATAAAAAAAGTATGCAAATGCTAGAAGTCCCTAAGTCTAGTTATTAATAATAACTTATTATATACAATATGAGCAGTGCATAAGAAGTAAATAAGAAAGAATAAGAATTATCCATTTACTTATGAAGATTTGTAGTTTTATTCTATGACGGCAAACATTTATTCTCTACTGTTTAATTTATTCAAATAGTTAAAAAATAAGTTATACACGCTTCTAAAAAATAATATACAAAAATCATTAATCAATCACTTGTGATATGTAAGCTATAATTTTACAAATATTAAAATTACTTTATTCTCATGCTGGTGCGTACACAAAAAAATATTTTGGCAGGATTTTAAATTATACATTTTTACAAGAATAAAATATAAACTACTTTTACTCAATAAAAACATATATAATTTTCCTGAATTTCAGGAAGGTTTGAACCTCTTATTCCCAGTTTTGTATGCATCTGTTCTCATGTATAATTATGTAAACCCTTGCATTGAATATTTAACATAACAGCTGTCATAATTATGACATCAGAATTTAATCTGAATATAAAGCCATATAATCTAGTCCAATTAATCAATCTTAGAACATTAAAATATTTAAACGACTGATTAGAGAAAAGCAATTATGTCAAATGCAAAATACTTTTCATTAGTTATAATCAGTTTTTTTTTTTTTGGTAAGTTTTCATTTCTTAACTAATTTCAATATACACTAAAAACCTGAAAATATTAACTTTATAGAAGTAAGGTATCAATGGTATTTTCCAAAAAGAAAAAAATATCAAAAATGTGAAAGATGTAAAAATTTAATGCAATGGCGCATATTATAATAGTTTTAATGTTATTAATTATATTAATATTATTGTTTAAAGAGACAAATAAATAATAATATACATCTTAAAACTTTACGTAAAAAAAGTTACCGGCATGACTACTAAACATTACATAGAGCAGGTATGCGAAAGGGTAGATCGGAGTGATACAGAGGTTCCCTATCAGACACACATTCACTCATTTAAATGTTGATCAAGTGTTGAATATATATATATATGTGTGTGTATATATATATATAAATATACATACATACACACACACAAGTGTATAAATTATAAATCTATAAGTATGTAATAAATTTTTATTTGGTTACCGGCAAAGGAAACACTCCGGAAACACTGTCAAATAGTTTTTTCAAATATTTATTTTTTAATAATCACGTATACTGAGAAGTAGAAAAAAAATCTACATAATAAATAAGACTAAATAATTGATAGGTGGCTAAGAACTACGTTAAGTTTTTTTTTAAGTTTTGGCTGTAAACATTTTGGTCCGTATTTGATGTGATTAACACACAATAAAAAATACACACAAGTATTGTCAGTACATGTAGTTAAATGAATACAGCATAAAAAAACATATCACAAAAAAAAAACCTCGAAATGCTATCAAATGCGATTAGAAATATTCGTAGCCTTACGAATATTAAGTTAAAAGTTATTCGCATAATTCTATCAACATAATATGGTTTTTTTTATAGTTACAATATCTATATAAAAAACAAATTCTTAGGGAAAACTTGTAAAGCACTACAATTTTTTTTCATTGAACAAAATTTTCATTTAGTAATTATATAATAAACCCTATAATAATTCTATAATAAACACATATAACCTAAGGATTTTTTTTTATCTAAGAAAACGGAATGACGAAAACATTCAAAATGTTGCACTTGTTTTCTTTATGTTACAGACATTAAAAATCATTAACAATATAATTAATTATTGCTGATATCATTTTCAGATTTTAAACTTGTTGCAGTAGTTAGTAGTTTTGTGTAGAGGCAGGGATTAAACTTTAAGTTGAACTCATTAATGATCCCAAATACTTCATGTGCATAAGTCAAATACTTGTTATAAAAGTAAAAACTAATTGACATTAAAGTATACATATATATGTATATATATGACAGATATTATTATACCTTTTAATTTAGTATGTTAAGATGAAATTAGGTAAAACGGAAAAATAAAAATACATAAAAATAAAAAAAAATCAACTGCATACCAAAATTTTTTTATAGTACACTTTGATTCCATTTCTCTTTAAACAATTTGCACACGCTACGTAAATGTGGTATCTTATCATTGGAAATTAAAGTGCAACAAAAACTAAATAGTAATAAAATATAATTGGTCATGCTAGGACTTGTTTAGAATAATATTTAAAGCAAATAAATGTGATAAACAAACAACACTAACACAGATTTAATTACAGGAACTGACTTAAGCACATCCATGCACATATCCTATCAATTCTGAATTCTAAATGAGATTTTTGAGTGATGATTTTTATTAATATATATTTTTTTTTATTATATAAGTAGAAAGAAAAAGTTATTCTCCTAAGTATTGAACACTTAGTATTAAGTGATAAGCAACATGTTGAACTTGTTTTCTTTCTATATATAAATATGTAAAAAAAAAATAATAATAATAATAAAAAAAAATTATAATAAAAAAATAATAAAAAGCCTTATAATTTAAATACAAAAATAAAACTTTTAACACATAATACTGAACAGAAAGACACAAAATTTGTTTTATTAAATTATTTTCGGGAATTTATACGATAAAACCAATTAGCTGCCGCATTTTTCCCTGCCAGCGAGATAAAAGTAAATCAAAGTGTACGAAAAAAAAATTTGACAGTCTTGGAGTGAGTCGCGTTTACTTATAGGGCTGTAACTATTGAATGCATATTTTTTATGTTTTCATATTTGATATTGTTTGTACACAGACACTGTTTTTCGATGACAATTTAAGTTAATTTATTATAGCGCAGTCACAGAAGGCATTTATGAGACATCTTGATCTTCGACATCTTGAAGCTGCTCTTTTGGTTCTGCTTCTGTACCTAAGATAATTAACTCAAATTAGTAAAATAGTAATAAAAACTAAATTAAAAATTATTCTATACCATCTCCCTGCATATCTGAAGTCCATAAAGTCAGGTTGTCCCTTAACAACTGCATAATTAGTGTGGAATCTTTATAGCTTTCCTCTGACAATGTGTCCAATTCAGCAATTGCTTCATCAAATGCTTTTTTGGCTAGATGACAAGCTCTATCAGGGGTGTTGAGAATCTCATAGTAGAAAACGGAAAAATTCAGCGCTAAACCCAACCTTTAAAGAAAATTTAATATTAATATGAACAAATATAGAATTGTAATAATTATACCTTATTGGATGAGTAGGCGGTAAGTCTTGATTAGCAATATCACTAGCAGCTTTGTAGGCAACCAAAGAATGTTCAGCAGCTTCTTTTCTGTCATCTCCAGTAGCAAATTCAGCCAGGTATCTGTGGTAGTCACCTTTCCTATTAAATAAATTGGTTATTAATAATAGAATTAAGTTTGAAGAATCACTTTAATATGAAAATAATGATTAAGATAATAAATAAATCTTACATCTTGTAATAGAAAACTTTAGATTCGCCTGAAGCAGCACAAGCTATTAAATGTTTATCAAGTACATTTAAAATGTCTGAACAAATATCCCGTAGTTCTTTCTCAACCTATAAACAATTATAATTAATATATTTTTTTGAACATCAATAATATTTATGTTTAAAAAAAATAATAGGTTGATAGATTTAATTATACTTGAGATCTATATTGGCGAATCATCTCCAGCTTTTCTTCAGCACCTTTGTTTTCTTCTTTCTGTTCAATGCTGGAAATTATGCGCCAGCTAGCTCGCCGAGCTCCAATCACATTTTTATAAGCTACAGATAACAGGTTTCGTTCTTCTACGGATAATTCAACATCTAATGATGCTACTTTTTTCATGGAATCTACCATTTCTGAAAACATCAACATAAATTATAAGAAAATAAATAATTAATACAAATTTAAATGTATAAGAGGTATTATTATAATATAAATATATTTTTTTTAAAAATAAATCAATCAATAACAAAAAGGAAGATTTAATTATATAATTTTAAGAATTAGATTAAAAATAATAATTATTATATTGTTATCAAATTTAACTTATACATCTTACAACAGTCACTAATCATTTATTAGTGCCCTAGTTTCCTAATTTTCCTAATTTAGAATAATATACAGTATAAAGAAAAAAACAAAGGAGTAGTGATACCACTGGGTGACTCCTCTCATCAAACTAATCATGTAAATGAATCATCAAATATTCTTATTGTTCTTAAAGGAACAGATTGTAGACATCGAATAAACCAACGTTTCTCAAAGTGTGGGTCGTAACCCACTAGTAGGCTGTCAGTCAATTTTTAGTGGGTGACGAACGTTTTTTAAATTATAGATTCTAAGAAATGTATGCTAAATTAATCAGTAAACTTGAGGAATTAAATTTATATTTACAAAGAATACAAGGAGCCGATATATTTGCGGTTCATGACAAAATTAAAGGTTTTATGAAAAAACTTACTTTATGGCAAAACAACATTGAAAAGCAAAATGATGATTGCTTTGAAACATATCAAATTTTCATAACTAAAAATGATATAAAATTAGCTGAAAATATAATTAACCACATCAGTTTGCATTTAATTTCATCAAACAAACATCGGAACAAGCTAAACTTATCGAACACTTTACGTTTGAAAATAACTAAAATTGATGTCGATGTCAATGCTGTTATTAACCGTAAGAGAAAACAAGCACACACCTTATTATTAAAAGTACATTTGTAAAAGTATATTAATTATAAACCTATAAAAAACTAAATACCTAATAAAAATGTATACATTTATATAATATAAATTTTGTTTTTACTTCTTTTTGAAAAGTGAAATCATGTGGGTCGCGAAAGATTTTTCGGGGAAAATTTGGGTCGCGGTACTAAAAAGATTGAGAACCGCTGGAATAAACAATAAAAAAAAGTGTAGTAATTTCTACTCAATCTATAGCAGAAAGTATAATAAAATAATTATAGAAACACATATAAAACTAAATACAGTATAATTCCGATTATCCGAACGCCAATCAACCAGAAGAGAAAAAAAAAACGACACGTGCCTGGTTCACGTATTTGAAAATTGTGATAATATAAATGAGTAGTTGCTTATGGATACAAATTATCCTGGATATCACAAATTTTTAGATAATGAAATAGTTCGTAGCTTATTTGAAGAAAATGATACTGAATGAGAGAGGAAAATGAAACTGACGATTTGACTGAAGGTGAAAATGGGGCGTCTCTTCTGAAGTTTTTGATGCATTGGATTTAGCATTAAATGGTCTGAAGGTAAGAAGAATCGAATACTACTCAATTGTTACAATTAAGATTGAGAGACATAGCTGCTCTAAAGAAAATAAAATATCATAATTTTTCAAAATAAAATAAAAAATGTGCCATGTCGGCTTTTTAAAAAAAAAAAAAATATGTCACATATTATAATTAAAGCTTATTTTGTTTCAGTTAAATATTATAATAAAACTATTTGTGTATGTTTACAAATTTTAAATTAAATTGCTTACATATTAATAATAAATATATACATACAATTATATAACTTTTGATATGCCATATGTCAATTATCCGGATATTTGCTTATCCGGACCACCCTCGACATTAATTAGTTCTGATAATCGGAGTTCTACTGTAGATATAATAATGGATCAATAACATTTAAACTTGTAATAAAATATGCTATATGGGGAAATTCAAAAAAATCACAAGTTATAAATAGAATAATATGGAAATACCATAATTTAATAAATTGTAGTTTTCATATTTTAAAATACTTAGTAATACAATGTATTATTTACAAATGTGTATGTTATTTGAGTAAATCTTTTTAACTTTATGATAAAATATTAAGGGTTAAAACTGTTATGATATAAATGAAATATTACTGATAAACAAACCAATACAATGTGTTTCCGTACTCTAGTAAACGATTGTTACATTATAATTAACTTATAAAGGCCAATATCAAACAAATAAGAAACGGCAGTTCGGCAAAGATTATCATCTGGTGCAATTAAAACTCCGCATTCTTCTGATAAAGATATCCATACTTGTAAGTTAAAATTATGTATTAAACCATAATAATTATCTGAATCAATCTAAATTTATTTGTAGTATTAAGATCCTTTTCCTTTACGCTCCAGAGCTACGGTAAAATATATTAAAAAGAACTAGAAAACCTACGCTAAAGAGTATCTTATATCGGTCACTCCCGACTACGTCACACTAGAAATTAACAGTTAAAAGAATAAATTACTAATCGGCGAGTAAAAAATAATTCAGTCATCACATAAAATATCAACGTTTAATTTTTGTTTCAATGTCCAGATTTTAGTACTTATTCATATTCGCGATTGAATAATTGATACTAATAAACTAAAAATTGATCATTTTATTAATAAACCTAATTATCTTTAGTTAAATATGTATTAGTATCGTAATGCCTGAACGAAAAGTTAACTTGCAGATCAATAGACCATTGGGACCAACATGAGGTGTACACGCCTGGTATAATACATACGTTGACACGAAGGGGAGAACGTCACCATGGAAACACCAATGTTATAAGGACTGGTACGTACCGCTACACCCCTAACCCATTCACAATAAATTAAAATACATTGGCTTAGTGACAAAAATTACTATTTCAGATAACTATGTATTTACAAAAGAATTCTTACAATACTACAACTATATGTTTAATAAATAACAAACAAGTTAAAATTCTTATTGAACATAAAATGAATAATTAATTACTCAAAACAAAAAACACCAACAAAAATTAAATTGTTTTTAATGATAAAAAAATTAGATTAGTTTATATAGATTAAAATATAGCAAATATTTTAGCCCAAGTTCATAATTAATTGACTAAAAATATAAGAACATTAATTAATGAATTAATTTAAGAATTTACATAATTACGTATATTTCTTTAATATATTAATAAAAAATAGACTTTGATATTTTATTTTTTTTTAAATACCTTATCTAGAAATTAAATAAACATTTTGCAGTAAGAAAGTAAAACATTATTTTTAATAGAACTTTCCCACAGTTTAATAAAAAAAAAACAATAATATTGATTTTGTACTTTTAGGTCACTTAAGTAGGTATGAAGGTATAAAAAAAACATATAATAATAATAATAATAATATTAATAATAAAAAAAAATTGATAATTACAATGAAATATACATTTTATAAATAAATGTTTGGATAATATTTCTGTTAATTATTTAAAACTATTACAAAAATTAAATAAATTAGAGAGTAAAAAATATTTTGTAACCAAAAAATAAATAGGTAACTCATCAGTTTTTATATAAAAATATCCTAATTGTGAACATTATGAATACACGAAAGAAATAATCAATTAGATTCACTTAAACACAAAGACCTCAAATATATTATCTAACGAGTTATTTTTAGAGTTCGTTATTTTTTTCTTTAAGTCTGTACTGTCATACATAAGCAGAGCAGGTATATTAATAAGGCACAATATACTTTTACTATTCATAAAAAATAATTTGTGTCTATACATAACAAATTAAAAATTGTTATTAAGGTATAATCACATTTTCATATTCCAATCTTTTATATCAGATGATTCAATATTTATAACCACTAAAAAAATCAGATATATTTTTGTTTAAGATTGATATTTTTTCTAAATTGAACAAAAGATTTACTTTAAAAAATAAAGGAATACTAATTTAGCAAAAATTAAAATAAATATTTATTTTTGAATAATTAACACTGAATTAATTTAAAGCTAAGCCATAAAACAAGAACTCAAAAATAAGATGTTTAAAGTAATTTTATATACTACTTTATTCGAGGAATAAAATAGTAGGTAGGTATTCAAAAACAAATGTTTAAGTTTGTATATAGTTTTGACAAAATCCATGTGTATCTTGGGATAAATACAATTTAATTGCTAATTTACAATAAGTATACTACTTGTAGTTATTATATATTTATTATTAAACCTTAATAAATATAAAAATTATAATAAATAAATTAAATTTTATAATCAGTAACAAAAAAAATATTCAACTACAGAAAAATAAATTTGTGATTTTATGTTTTTAAGTATTTTATGTTTAAAACTGTTAATTAATCATTTCTATGTTCTTAGTATGCATACATCTAAATTCTGTAAATAAAAAGAAAGTATATTTAATTTATTTCAGCCATAACCACACGATTTTACCAATTTTATAGATTGATAACAGGAACAATCAAATATTTTGAAGTTTTTAATCATAGGTTATTAAATATTAATATATCAAATTTAACCAAAACTATTTTTTTTTTTTTTTTTGGTTAAAGACCTTTCAAGATCATCCCATCTCACATCCATTCCTCAATTCTTCACTATTCATTGCTCTTTCTTTCCAATTTATTCCTCCTCCTAGCGATTGCACATCCTTTTTAACTATATCTTCTTATTTTGTTTTGAGTCTTCCCAGCAGTCTTTTTCCTCGTGGGTTTTGTTTTAACACTGCTCTAATTAGTTCATTTTGGCTCCTCCAAGTGTGGCCTGCCCATTGGAGTGTTTTGGTTCTTTTTGAATCAAAACTATTAATAAATTAGAAAATAATAGGTACCCAAAGATCACTAAATTATGTTTCAACAAATGTTAACTGCACACAATAACGAAAAAAATTAGCATCTAATTACATTAATCGTGTAATGCTTACATACGAATAGATTTACAAGATTTTTATAAAAATTGCAAGAAAAAATAGAGCAATTTTAACTAACATATCTGTTATTTATGCTAAATTTACTAAAAATAAAAACCGAAATGTTATGGGCAATTATTATAGGGGCTTTTCCTACTTCAATTTAAATTTGAATGGGACACTATTTAAACTCTTAGTTACTTCACGAGTAATGATTATCAGTTTAATTTAATATGTACAACCAAAAAAATATTCTCAATAATTAGTAACAATAAAATTATAAGTATTTAGGTATATAAATACACGAGTACATATATTTTAAAAACCATAAATACTCAACCTATTATAAGTGTGCTCAGAACAAAAAAGATTTAATCCAATGAATTTTTAAAGTTATAAAACAAATTAGTATCTAATATACTACCTTGGTACCTTGGTTTAACACAAAATAAAATTAAATAACAAAATAAATTAAAAACCAAATTTCCATTGGTAAATAATTTTATCTGTCTTTATAAAGTTTAATGAAGAACATATTATACAATCTGAATAACAATTTACATCTATCAATTGGGATATAATTTAGAATTAATTTACAGTTCATTAAATTTATTAATAATTTACTTATCAATTTGATTGAAACAAGTAAATAAACAAGAATAATAAAAAATGTGCTGTATTCAGCAACACAAAATTTTAAAACTAATTTCAATGTTTTTTTAACTTTGAAATTATAGTTGAAATTATAGTTTTTATGACATTTAGGTATATTAAACTTGTATTTATAAGGTATTCATAAGAGTTTTATTTTCATAAAGGATGAATTTAGTCTAATGCCTACAATATATTTATTTAACATCCAACTATAGATAAATGTAATAATAATTATGCTAATATTAAAGATAAGAATTAAACAAATAATGATATGGACAAGGTTTTTGTCAATATAGCAGTAATGACAATAAAGAAACCAAAATGCAAAAAAAAAATGTATGGGATACATACAAAAAGAAAGTTAAAAGGCAAAATTAAATCAGGATTGTTCATTAGAAAATTAATTTAAAAAAAAATTTATATATTATTCACATAATTTCAAACAATTTAAAAAAATTATCTACTACCTAAGGTAAAACTAGAACTTAAGACTGATGATATTTCTATAACATATATAATGATTTCTGATTCTTCAACATTATTCGAGAATAATGAACGTGATTTTAGATCAAATTCAACATGAATTTCCTTTCCAACGACGCTTTAGAATTACAATAGGGACGATTTATATTAATGTTATAGTCATTTAATACTTGAAAACACAATTGGAATAAAATCAAAGGGAATGGTAATAAGCAGAATGAAGTTCAAGAGTAAAATGAAATGAAACTTAGTAAGTATTGGAACTTGATACATGAATGAAACATTTCCATAGAATTGTTAAAATGGGTATATTTTGGAATCGACTTTGTGAGGAAGGGGTGCTAATTAGTTTAGGGAAATACCCGAACTATTCGTGTAAATTATCGACGGCACCGGCAGCCGCGAACCAAAAAGCAGTTACGACGTCATCACGAACACCAAACAATTTATCTATGACTGATAACTAAAAGAATGGTGGAGGAATCCGACGGTGTCAATTACGACGATAACGGACTAAAATTAAACGGGTAAAATCCTAGAGAAGTAAAATTATGAAGGAAGCCGTTATTTGTCTATTGTAAGATATACTAGGACAACGCAACAGAATTTCATACGCCTAACGGTATAACAAAAAACCACCGCCACCACAGTGTGTGTAATATTATAAAATATAAAAGCAGTGCCCACACACGTACGCACACATACTCATACATACACGTAGGTGCGCGATGCGGCTAACCTAGAAAAAATATATAGCGCGCCCGATTATACGTATTGATTATTTAAGCGCGAGGCGGAGGCGTCATCGGCGCCGTCGGGTGGTCGCGTAGTCGTCCACGACATTACGCGCCAACGTTAAAGGCCTTTTGGCCAAATAAATAACTGATTAAGACGTAGAACCAAAATTGATGACGGGAATATGGGTTGTCGTGGAGGGGGAAGGATGGAAATGAACGAAAAACGATTGTCTTCAACTCATGGCTTTTGAGCAGCACGCGAGCGAATTAAACGAAAAAGAGCAAACGAAAAATATATATTTGAGTGCATTTACTCAACTCACCATCGTATCTCTCCGCCTGTTCGGCGAGTTTCGCCTTGTATACGTTTTCTTCCCTCTCGGACATGATGACGAATTACTACTGAACCGAATTTGCGTGGAACGACGAAGGTTTCTTCGAGCACACTCGTGCGACAAGACACACGGCAATATAATTAAATAATATATTCTTTTGGACGAAGCGTGAGTAACTTTACCAACACGCTTTTGTTGATCTTGCGGCGGCGGCGACAGATATGGCGTACGTAACTGAATAAGAAAAAACGCTTTGCAGAAACGACTAATAAAAACGTTTATGCGATGCGAGAATCGACGTTAAACACACAGATAACCGGCGGTTAGTAAAATAAATATTACGATCGTTAGTACCCGGTGGTGGCGGTTTCGTTCGCACGATGTACGGCGGTGTCGGGTTGCGGTGGACGAGGTTTGTGAGCGGACGTTACGTCGTTTCCCGTCGCCGACACACGAATGGTCCGTGTCTGGAAATATGGCCGCACCCGTCAGGCCGCCAACATGACGTTCATGGAAAAATAACTCAATAATCGATCGTAAGCGTATAACGATTTTTTGTTTCTTTTCGACGTAGTGGCCCGCCGTACATCAAGCGCGCGCACTCAATGTCCATCTGTGCATGCGCGACCTCTCCGTGCGGTTCCTTATATATTATTGCTGTTCTTTATTATTATTATTATTATTATTATATTTATTATTTTTTTCACTATTTCGCGTTTTGCCGCACTTTACATACATTTTCGTTACTTTTTTTTACTCTTTTTTTTTTAAAATTTCCTTCGATACCACAACTGTGTCTCACAATAAGTACCTATATATCAGTGGTGGATCCAGGGTGGGATAAACCTCCTCCCAAAATCATAAAAAATATATATATTAAAATCAATAATTTTATGAATTAAGATAGGACGATTTTTTTTTTTTTTTTTTAAAGTATGAGGGAAAGTATATAATTTGTATTTTTATTCATACAAGAAATTAGTGGTCTTAGATTTAAATTAATATATTATATTACTTACCATTATCTTAATTCATCATCAATCCCTGACTGCAATGTTATAAATAATATCCCAAGGGAAAACATTCCCGCCACTGCTATATAGATATACATAAATACATATAAATAATCGTATACAACGTATACTTTGTACGTATTGTCGTATATAAGCTTCGGATCCATTAAAATCTTGCATGATTCTATGCACGGGCAACGATTTTTTTATACTTTTCCGTAACTAAACCATTCGAGGCCCGTCTCCAAATCAAAACCTTGAGGCCCCTAATCGTCAAACGTTTTTGAGTATTTGATCTTATCAGGCACCATAATATATAATTCAAGGCCCGTGGTCTATGTGCAATGAATCCTCTGCACACCCGATTTTTACGGCATGCACCGCTTGAGTTTTGACAGGCGTTTCCCGCTTGAAATCAGGAAAACGTAAAATGTCGAATAATTGAAAACTACCTCCTCCAACTCCATCGTATTTGTCATCGGCGGATTGTATTCGCGGAATACTTGTACAGCCATTTCGATTATTATGACGTACGCGCGCTTTGTGTTCGTGAACCGTAAGGTGATCCGAATTACTGAACACGATTAATGATGTCACTAATCTGTATTCTACACGTACGTCATACCTTGTGTGTGTGGGTATCACGCAACGTCCTTTTCCCTTATGATTGATGTCTGAGCGCGCGTGCGAGCCCGGATTAACAGTGGAATAAATTAAGGTTTTCGACAGAAATCAATCGCAGTAATGTACACTGTTGTTAAAAAAATATAACAGCTAATACTTAGTGACAGTGGCGAACGTAAGAAAATATTTCGGAAGGAAGGGTTTGAAAAATGTAAAATGTAGATAAATATCATGTGTTATTACTCATTATATGATTTATATATTGATGTATTTAATTTTATTTTATTGGCTCGAGCAAATTCATAGGTCTATTGAGTGCATATAGAAAATAGGTTGATAATATAAGTTTGTACTCGAACTTAGAAAACGCTTCCTATAGGTTTTTTTATAAGATGATGTGACGATAACCCCCTCCCTTCAATTTAAAAAATCTCCAGATCCGTTCCTAATTGCATTTAAGGTACCATTTTCATTTTCAGCAGATGTCAGCAAATGAAAATGGTACCTTAAATGCACGAGGTCACCTGACATATTTGTACAAAATCATATCTTCAATATTTTACCAAATTTTAAAATGTATTACTAAATTGGTTATAATTTATAAATGTGTAATTTAACTAAAATTTCTTTATTAATTGATTGGATTTTTTGGTATAATGACTAAACTTTCTAAAAATTGTATAAACGTTAAACAGTGTCAGTCCCCTAATTTTAAAAATAATTTCGAACTATTGTTTTATTAATATATTTTATGATCTCTTCTTGTAATAAACAAATATTATGAAAATTATGTTTCGCCATTTCATAATAAATTCTTTCATATAACATGATATATGATGTATAAGTGTAAAACAATTTGTCTATAATTTCGACGTTGCTACGCAATTAACTGATTTCCCATTAATAAACATGCCTAAACAAGTATTAAAAAAAATAATAAATATGAATAAAATATACTGGGTACGGATACACACTCATTATTGGAAGGCATTTGAAATTTAATTAATATTTGTAAAACCTATGTTGATATATAAGATATCTTATGATTAAGTTTAATTTTATTTTAAATTAAAAGTAAATACTAAATTGCATGTACAAAAAATGAAATTAAGTTGAACGTGATTTTTGTATTATTAGTGTTAAAATATTTTAAAAAAGAATGCTTTTTCATTTTCTGTCGTTTTGTATGATTTTTTGGAAAACAATTGAAAATGCATTGACCCATGAACTCATTTATACAGCTGATTGAGGGTCGAGTGTATAGTATATAATATATTGTTGGGGAATTATTTTAATTTACTAGGAAAAAGTATTTTTATCAATAAAAAATATCTTAAAAATCTTTTCCAGCTCAAAATTAGAAACGAAAGGGTGTGTAGATACTTGTTTTTGTTGATCTGTAAGTGTAAGTATTTATATTTATGTGTATTAATCGATTAATTCTAGTGAACCATAGGAGTAACTTGTTGATTCTATTGATATTTATTTATTATTAAGTGGTACATAAGTATGTGTATGTCATAATTATTCCCTTTTATGAATTATAAAATCGAACAAAAATTATTGAAATGAGTAATGGCATGTATGAATCATGGAAATTATTTCCGCTACGAATTACATCGCCAATTTTATTATAAATGTGCATTGAACATTTTTATAAATACTTATCACTTCCAAAACACTTTTTTTTACAATATTTTTATATACAAATAAAAGTAGATAAGTTTTATTCACTTCTATTCAACCTCACTAAAAATATAATGCAATATTCAAGGTTTGCCTGTATTTATTGGCATTGTAAAAAAGTGCAGCTTTACATCATGTGGCGTTAGTCAAAATATAAACCGCACGCACTAAGGATAAGTATTATAATATAGTGTATAATACATATTATGTATTATTCGGCTTACAATGAAAATGAAAATTAATTATTTTAAATTATTTCAATAACTATTCGCATTTCCATGATTTGAGTTCTCGACAAAAATTAATATAATATCTATACAGCAATAATATAAATTTTTAATTAGGTAGTTTATAATAAAATAAATAATTATAGGTATTCAAATCATGGTCTATATACGTTATATTGAATGGTATTAGGATTTATATGTCCTGATAAGTTCATCCTAAACAACTGACGAATAGAAATTATTTTTTATGGAATAAAATAATTTAAATAAATTATCAAAAAAAAAAAAAAGAGCATACAATACAAAGGATATTATTCTATACGTTTTGACACTAATTATAATTCTGCAGTATTTATTAATAAATGGTTTCAAATTTTTATTTTTTATAATATATTTTAATTAAGTTGTATAAAATACTTGATATTTAAATCGCCGATTTACTAAACGTATAGTGAGTTTCTTCGTAACGAAACAAAAATAATGAGATGAACATTGCCGCGCATATTATGTACTCAGATAAATTATAACTGGCTATGTTCGTTTCAAATTTCAACAATCAAAATTTAAATATTTCTACATATTATATTATAACTATAAATTTTCGGAAACGAGAAACATAACACTTCACTAGATTATGAATTATTGATGTTTTTGTTTACGCAAATATTCAAACCAACAGTGATTTAGAAATAATTGTTTAGATTCTTATAAAGAAGTAATTAAGAGGTAGCTTCGAAGACTCTTGTAAGCCTACAGTATTTTCTAAAAGCCCTTCAATAATTTACATGTATGCTGGAGCACATTTTTTTGATAACATATTTAACGACAGTTAACGAATTATTAAAACTTTTGTATTAACTAACAATAATAATTATTATAAACAAAAATGCAATTTATTAAAAGGAAATATTAATATCAACCATTTATTTATTTTTTGGATTATCTGTTAGTTAGAGCGTTATAATAGCTAAATTTTAATGTTTGACTTTGAGGGGGTTAAAATCGGAGATAGCAATTCTAGAATAAAACGAAGGTTTTAATGGCCATTAGGAAAACTAAGTCCCTCCCCGTTCGTGTTAGTGTTTCACTAGAATTTATTTATCCACCCTCCGAAAATAACTAAAACTATAGTCCCTCCCAAGTCACCCAACTCTGAGACCTATAATAGTAATTCAGGACTGTTTGACAACTTTAGATTTTATATAAACATCGCTAAATTTAATATTGCGGATTTATATTTTATTTTATATTGCTTTGCCAAAATATAGAAATTATATATTTACTATAGTATTTTAGTTCTTGAATAATGATCTAATAATTATTTGCTCTAGTATAAGGCCAGTAACTATTTACAATTTTCATCGATCTTAGAATTTATGTTCTTTTCTTTCAAAACTATTTTTGTTGTTTTAATAATGAAATTATAACAATATTCCGTTAAGGTTACTTCGAGCTGTTAAAGAATTTATACATAATACGATGTTGATGTTTTTGATTTGAGTTGGTAAAAATCCGACAATCCAAACATTTTACCAATATTCGCGCCTTTGTCCATGGCATATAGTTATTAGTCTATTTGCAGAGAATGACGACGTCATTAAAATTGGCCTCAGAAGAATATATTTATGTAACTATGTACATTAAAATACACAGTAAATACAAAGTATGTCAAAAAGTTATTTGGATTTATACTGCACATACAAATGAATACCAAGTATTTTACAGTTTAATACTATTTATTTAGTCAACACTTATATCACGATGTATTTCTGTTTTGAAATAAATGAAAGAAGTGTATTACAGCAGCAGAAATGAATAAACTGATAGATAGTATACAAAATATGTACAGATATACCCATATACAGAGTGATTTGCGTTTAACGTAAAACATTCGACCATGTTAATATTGTTAGTAT